TGATAGCATGCATACTTTACCCCATAGAATGTTGAAAACAAAAATAACCTTTTATTCAGATTGCATTCAGCATGTACATACAGGGAACCGACTTTCCTCAGGGTCACTATAGTTACATTCAGCATTTACATACAGGGAACCGACGAACAAACCGACTTCCACAAAAACCAGGTTTGTGACTCAAAGTTGAGGTGTGAAAAATGATACGTCTTGAGTCTGGAAAGGCAAACACATAATCATCACAGTAGTAACACAACAGATGGTCACATTTTTTTTTTTTTTCATTGCAATGCTCCTTAATTCAAACTTCATATTTTCTTTATTGGTATAACTGCAAATACACACAAGGATGCAAAAGATATCAGAGTTCATCTTTTTATCCCAGAAGCTATTTTTCTCACTACTTATTCCTATCTAATTGGCAGATGCCCTCAATAAGGTCAATAATGGCTTGTGGGGAAATATAAATCTATTTATGTAAGCTTTGAGATTTGTATCTAAGATTAGCATATTTCAACAAATTTTTTTTATTTTCCTTCAAAAGAAAGTAAATATTGCTTTTCATAATCCTATCAGTAGTCCCCAAGTTATGCTAGACACCAAGTCAGAACTGTGTCGATGTTTATTATTGATAATGTATACTGTTGCTAAACTAACTGGAAAAGATACTGTTAGTATGTAATCAATCGATACTCTATTTCAGTGGTTCTCAACTGGTGGGTCGCGGACCCGTTTCGAGTGGGTCGCGGATGTGTGAGTGAAGAAAAAAAATTGAATTGAATTTTTTTTGGGGGGGGGAAGTCCAACTTTTATTTTGAAGGCCCAATTTTCTAACCTGTGCATGCAATAGGCGTTGATCTCCCTTACCCACAATTTTTAAAGTAAGTCACACTTACACTCTGTGAGGAGCAGCAAGCTGTCAGAACTAAGTGAAAAACAAACAATGGCATAAAATATTATTAATATGTCGGGTAGTTTTCCTCAGGGTCACTAGAGTTACATTTTATTTATTTTCTTCTCAGAGTGTACCAGAATGCGTAGTTTATGTTAGTATTTCTAAAAATCTCCTGGGGGAGAAACCCCCCCCAGACTCCCCTGCTGGGGTTGGGTTTTCAGCATGTGTGCCTTTTTATATAGTTCAGCTTTGATTCCATCATCTCATAAAAATTTTTTAAAAGCATACTTTAGTTCTGTGAAGGGATATATGCACTGTACTTCACTTTTTTTGTTATTGTATGCTGAAAAGCGTATATTACAGCACGATTTTTTGTTGAATAGATTTGAGTGCTTCAAAATGTTGGGTCGCGATTTATTGACCAAGTAAAAAGTTGGTCCCGAGGCCTGACCAGTTGAGAACCACTGCTCTATTTAACCTTCCAAAATTCTCCCACACCACCCCGCTCCTCCGCTCCCTTCACTGGCTTCCAGTAACTGCTAGAATCCACTTCAAGACAATGGTACTTGCGTACCATGCTGCGAATGGATCTGGCCCTTCCTACATCCAGGACATGGTTAAACCGTACACCCCAGCACGTGCACTCCGCTCTGCATCAGCCAAACAGCTCGTTGCACCCGCACTGCGAGGGGGACCCAAGTTCCCATCAGCAAAAACTCGTGGGTTTGCTATCCTGGCTCCAAAATGGTGGAATGAGCTCCCCATTGAAATCAGGACAGCAGAAAGCTTACACATCTTCTGGCGCAGACTGAAAACTCATCTCTTTAGACTCCACTTCGAGCGATTGATTACTAACAAAGCACTTATATACTAATAAAGGACTGATGTACTTATATGATTCTGTTTTCTTCAAGGTTGTATCTTCTTGGTCGAACGCACTTATTGTAAGTCGCTTTGGATAAAAGCGTCAGCTAAATGCAATGTACAGTAATGTAACACCGGGACACGTTTTGAATCAATAATACATTTTTCACTCTAAGTACAAAGTGAATCAAATGTTGAGATGTCAAAAGTTTGACACCCCGTTCTCATTTCCCCTCATTCCTTTCCCCACCTTTGATATTTACTCTGTCTGCTTCTTCTTCTCTTTCTGTCTGTCAGTTTGTTTTTGCCTATTTTAAAATGTTCTGCAGGCATTCTTTTATAAACATCTTGACAGCCAGAAAACAGAGTGATGATGAGCGTTGGAGACTTTTTTTAGACGGTGGCCTGAGTGTCTGTGTTAAGAAGACTATCAGGCCCTGAAAAATATCATATTTTTAGATAAAAATGAATAATAATCGAGGTCCTCACTCCAACATTACTCATCCCAGTTCCATAATACATTGTAATTCTTAGTACCGGTAGATAAAATGTAAGCATGTCATTTATGGTTTTTGTGACAGATGGCTGCAGAAAATTATGGCAGCAAAGTGATTCAACAGTTGAGAAATCGCTTAGACAATCACACACTTTTAATTTAAACTGCCACTTAACATCCTTCATTACGCTGCACTAAACAAACTCTGTTCTGAATATGGCCGTAAGGAAATAAATAATATATATTATTTACAAAAAACATAAAGAAAACACAAGGAAATGTAAAAAAACAAGGAGACATAATTACACAAACACAGCAGTATACTCACAACCTTACTCAGGGTTCTTACGGTTATTAAAAACCTGGAAAAGTCATGGAAATTCAAAATGCTAATTCCAGGCCCTTGAAAAGTGATGGAAAACAATATTTTTCCCAAAGTTTGGGAAAAGTCATGGAAATGTAACCAAAGTTGCATCAAATATAATTTATATTTTATCTAATTGCCGAAATAGTAATACTATAATGATAATAAATACTGTATAGTAATGAAACGTAAAATGGCATTTAACTGTCGAGGTATTTTGCTGGTGAGAGATTTGAGTTGCTTTAGCGTGTAGAAGCTAGTAAGCCTACTGTTTCATTTGTTTTAGATAGGCACAACATGTTTCATATGCAGACCTTATTTTCCTGTTCCATGTTAAAATAAAAATGTTTCAGTGGTACCGCTGAGAAAGAGTAATTTCTTTTGTCATGGAAAATGAGGTAAAGGTCATGGAGAAGTCATTGAAAATCATTGGTGAAAAAGTGTATGAACCCTGGTTACTGTACATGTATCGTTTATGTTGGTCCAAAAATGTCAAACAAAAAAGTATAAATGTTGGAGTTCAAAGCAACTTGTAGCATGCTCATTAGCCGAATAAATAACAAAAAGTCTTTCATCTTTTAAATCAAGTCCTTATTAATTCGTGTTTCCTCGATGTGACGGATACGCTGAGTGGTTGGTTGTGATGCTCACATAAATAAGATGACTTTAAAAGCAACGTTACCAAAGCGAGATAATGAGTTGAATTTGTGGATCACATACAGTAGTTAGACTAGTTGGACTTGAGCAGTTTACTAAGAAAAGAACAATGATGTATTAATGAAGGCTAAAATAATAATGTCTATCGTTTAAACGTATGTTTGCTTCACTACTGTAAAAACACAATGGGTTTAATGTCTACATGTCTGACTTCTTTAAATTCTTTATAAGTGTGTTGTTTTTGTTTTGTGGACATTTCAAAACTAAAGGATTAGGACAGTTGTCAGAACCTAAATGAACGGCAAATAAATAAATAACATGGACAAAAACGATTTCTCATGACATGTTGACAACTCCACCACAGTGCTGTGTTTACTATACTGATGAGCATCGCTCTAATCCCCTGACAGTCTGCCGGCCTGCGTTTCAGCTTCATCTCTCTCTGGTGACTTTTGAAACGGTAGACACTTCAAAGAGAACATCCTAACATTAGCTGCAAAGATAACAATGTAACGTCACCGCATAAAACACATCCTGACACATCATTTCCCTCTCATTAAAGCCAGCACAACAGACGGTTGACATAAGAATCAATGTCAAAGTGAATTTTAGCAGAAGGAAAAGAGACATATAGCTAATATTAGAGACATGTAAGAGAGAGATAATATGAAAAGGAGACGTTTAGGTGTTTATCTTGTCGTGTAGGAGGTGAGACTGACCATGCCTGATTTAAAATAACAACACCATGAGAATATAATAGAAATGCAATGAGGTTCGGGTAAAAGACAAATGTAGTATCTTCACATGTCATAAAGACCACTATACTGTAGGATAGAAAAAGTATGTCTTCTTCAAAAGGGAGACACCGTCAAGAATGCAGAATTCGGATCTTCTCTCTTTTCAGCCCCATTTTCTGACTCTGCATTTTTTCTGAGTGGAGTGCAGTCCTGTTCTTTGCCCCTCTGTCTTGCCTCTGCTCTTTTTCACCTTCTGTTTTTGTGGCGATTTTTTTTTTTTGTCTTGATATGACCCTCCTTTTTTTAGGCCGCTATTTGTGTCTTCATTAATAAATGCATGTGTTGCATTCACTGTGCAGAGCCTGAACCCGTTTTTCCTCTATAGCTCACATTGTATATAGCTTTGCAACAAAACGCATTCATCAGAGGCAAATCAGCTCTTGCTCCAGCGATAAATGCACTGTTTCAGTTTTCAAAGCCGTGACCGGAGAGATGCTGCGATGCCTCACAGATGCAGGGCCAGGAAAATATCAAGAGGAGGAATCAAAATCATTTATATACAAATGTTCCTCCAATTCTCTGCAGCTTTTGTTTTCTCAATAATTTCTTCCTCCATATTATTTTGTTGTTTTTCTCGTCAGCGCTCAGACATCCTAGATCGCTAGCTTCCTGCAGATTTCCATTTTTCTCATTTTCTCTTTTGGCTGCCACAGTATTGGTTCAATTCTGATAACAATACATACATCATCTGCCTCCAAGTGTGCGATTCATGATACAATTGTTTGTTGTGAATAAGAAATGAATAATTACTTTTTTAAGATTGGAATGATTTGTCTCAAGGAGTAAATTAGACTTAAATGTAGATTTGAAACATGGAGTTGTTTTATTTTGCCTTTTCTTTCATCAGATTTGTGTTTCTTATTGTTCTAGGCAGGCCAATGAGGAGTACCAGGTCCTTGCCAACTCGTGGCGTTACTCATCTGCATTCTCCAACAAGCTCTTCTTCACGGTGGTGGACTATGATGAGGGGGCTGATGTTTTCCAACAGGTAATTATTTCATTCCTAAATGGAAAGTTTCCCCCTGCATCCTTTCTTTTCTTCCCTCCAGCCTTTCCTCAGCCCTCTGCTTGGCACACCTCTCACGTTAGGTGGGTCTCTCACCCTCACCAAACCCTTGACTTTAATGAAACCCATTCACACAGTAATGCGACAGCCACAGGAAACCCTAGAAAAATACATTTAACACCAAAGGCTAATTACTGTTCTGTAAGTCAAGACTTACTAAAATGCTTAATATACTATTTCTAGCTGCAAACAGAAGAAGAAAAAAACTCCCTTTTGTTAATTGCTATGGCTGCAAATCGAAGAAATATTCTGGGGCTAAAATTCAAGGGCAAAGTCAGTTTGCTTCCCATTCTCCAATCTCTTCCTTCCCACTATTGTCAAGATGGACTTCAGCAGCAATTAACCATACAGAAAAAAACCTTAGAGGAAAAGGCAAAAAGCACGCACAACAAAAACAAAACAATGAAACGCAACATCCTGAAAAGGCAGAAAGGCATACATGGACACATAAACAAAGGGCAGGTACAAACCAAAACAAACATACACAGAGTATTTATACACACCTAAACAGCACAACGTGTAATATGGACACACACACACACACACACACACACACACACACACACACACACACACACGGTTGCACCTTTCTAGAAGGACTAACACACAAGCAGAAAGCAATTTAGAGGCTCATGTAAACACAATGCATTACACAGGTCTTTATTCCACACACACAGGATAAACCGACATCAAATTCAGTCCTGTGTTTGTTTCTTTTATCTTGACTTAAGTGCATGGGGAGTGCAACTCGTTATAGGGTTCTTTAAAAACTCATAATGATAATAATCTGCGTGTAAATGTTTGAGAGATCTGGTCCAAATGTTTAAATGTGGTTAATATACAACAAGTCACCTCTGGCTGGCAGAGAAGTCTCTGCTCCATAGTTTCTCAAATAAAATCACACTGTACATTTTACATTTATATATTCAGTTTAATATTTAATATTCCATCTGTCACATACTTATGTATATATAATACCTTGCTTTATATCTTGTTATTGTTTAAATTCAACATGTATATTTTCTACTTGTTTATTTCTTGTCTTTTAATTGTGATTGTACAATGCCATGTCTTTGTATGCTGCTGCAACACAAACATTTCCCAAATTGGGATCAATAAAGCACTATCTTATCTTATCTTATACCTTTTTGAGTAAATGTACATTCTTATTTGTGTACAGCTCCAACTTCTTATCTTTAATAGAGCTGTAACCAATATTGCCTAACGTGTCATCAGTCACTGGCTTCGACATAAACAATGGGTCAATAATAATATATATTAGCTTTTTTGCAGTGCAATAAACTATAATTTATTGTTATGACTTGAACATGATTGATGACTGAGTAAAAGCCCGCCTAATTAGAAGACATGACCACTCCTGTCAACAGTGTTAAATATGAAGACAGAAGACCATTTTATTTATTATCTTATGATCCAATAACAGGCTTTGAAGCGAAGACAAGCAGACTCAAATTGCACTCTTGTGTGCTGTCATATTAATGGACTACTGTGGACACATGTAGGCCGACTGGTAAATACTGCATTGTGTTGAACCAATGAAACCAACATGGAGACGATGGCTGGGCACAAAATAGAGACAAAAATATATCATTTGAAATACAATCTTTATATGTCTTTGTACTTTGGTATCAGAGCTAATTAACTTTAGTAATATTCGTATTACTACAAAACGTTGTTCCTCTGTGTTTCCCTCTGGTGTGGTTTCTCTATTATATGAGAGATGCAAGACAAGTTGAAAAGTTATCTTCAAGCACTTTTGGCTAAACACAGAAAAAGTTGAAAATACAAAGGTAAATTCCCAGTTGGCCCTTTTTTATTCTCTTCTCTCAGAACTTTAAATAGCAGTCCTCTGTTAGAAATAGCCTGGTTTTCTTCTTCTTCCTTTATCTATTGTAGACCACTTAGTCCAGGAAAGATAGCATTAAAGCAGTATTCTATATGGTCCTTTAAACATTGTTTCTTTTTCTTCCTACTTGCTATTGTGAAATCTATTGTTTTCTTTTCTTTTATGGGTTTAATTGCTAATTCATGCCCTCTGGATGTCTATTGACTCTCGTACCTTCCCTCAAGGTTTTTTTCTTTTCACGATTCTTTCCACATCTCTTCTTTTCATACAACAATTCTAGCAAAGTTTTATTGAAAGTTAATTAAATTCACATCCTTTTGTTCTTGTCCATGCATGAATGCAGATTTTTGTATTTGTGTTCATGAACATGTTTGCATCTACACGTGCAGAAGTTTAACACTAAGAGCAAGAGGGTGGCTACTCTGAAACAGAACTTTAAACTGTTTCGATAAAAAAAAACACACAAAAAAAAAGTTACCCGAGACGTGATCAATGATAGAGATCTGTGAGACATATGATGCTAAAGTAAACTCTAAAGAAGTAAACCTAGAAGACTTACATCTGTTTATTAAGACAATCCTGCTGCTGCTGCTGATGATATGTTTGACAGGTCAGAGATGACATTAACTTGACATAACCCTCATTCTTTTGCTCTTTCTCTGTAGTTGAACATGAACAGCGCTCCAACCTTCATGCATTTCCCGGCGAAGGGAAAGCCCAAGAGAGCCGATACGTTTGACCTGCAAAGGATTGGATTTGCTTCAGAGCAACTGGCCAAGTGGATTGCAGACCGCACAGATGTTCAGGTACCACTCACACATTCACACATTCTTTAAAAAAAAAAAAAAAATTAACACTTGGGCTGCTCGATTATGGCAAAAATCTTAATCTCGATTATTTGGGTCAATAATTGATATCACGATTATTAAAAACGATTATCCATTTACTTTGAAAACATCCATTTATTGGAGTAAACACATTTGAACAGTATGTTTTTAACAGTTGATTACCCTGAACTTTAAGTATAATTCAACTGAAAAACCAATAAAAAAAGAAAATTATTTGAAAAAAAAAAAAGTAATAATAATAAAAACATTATCGTTTTATTTCGATTACGTTGTTTTCGTAATCGTTGCAAGCCATAATCGTAATTGCGATTTAAAATACGATTAATTGAGCAGCCCTACAGTTGGGACATATGTGGATTTTTGATACATACAAAGGGAATTGTTGGAACATACAATCCAAATATAGTTAATAGAAATATAAACTATTGATTTAAATTGTTTAATTTAAAGGAACTAACTAAGAAAGTCATTAAATCGATGTCAAAATACTTCATTAAAAAAAGATAGCTATGGTTTTTCTTTCCATTTACACCATATACAAACCGTATCAGATTCAGCTAAGAGGTGGTCAGAGACCTACTTTTGCTCAGAAGGATTGTCCGTAACAGCATTTGATTGACAGCCTTTACTTCAGCCTAAACTCCACCAAGTCCATAGATCAAAGTCTGTTTCCAAGCCTTCTGAAGTACTTCTGCATGTTATTGGAGTGCCTTGATACATTGGTGGAGTAATCCATTCACACACCGCTCCAACAGCCAAACCCACCAGGCGTTTGTTGCAAAGAGCAGGAGAGGTCTGAAAGCATCCTTAGTTTTTACAATGTTTACACCCTTTAGAGAAACAGGCAAATAGGTTTCAGATGTCATTGTTTGTAGGCACTTAGATGGATGTCACCAGAAAGATCAAATCCCAACCATCTGACTTTAGTTTCTTTTCCCTAAACAACCTGTGAGCCAAGTACCGGCAGACATAGTCCAAGCGTCCTGCTGACATGCTGTTGATGGATCTAGATTCAAAAAGCTGCCATTCAGTGAAGGTCATGGGGAGCACTTACACTAAGTGCTAGCTTTCAGGCACTTCAATGTGACTTAACAGCATGAATTACAAACAGTACAGAAAAGGCGGGAACAAAAGGACAGATATTTGATGAAAAGATTGTGAGCTGAATACCTTGGTGTGATTTAGGGAATGTACATGTAATTGTTTAGAAGAGTCAGTGTTCACTTTCAGAGCCACTAATGTCCAAATGTGACAATAAGTGTATAAGGGGAGTGTGTAAGAGCTGTTACTGTTGTGTTGTGATGAAATATCAGCCATTAAAACTTCTTGGTCTTTTATGTTCTATTCTTGGATAAAAACCGACATGAATTACTTCATGTACGCTGTCATACACATTATTGGATTTCATTGTATAAAGGTTTTTTCAACTACAATTGAATCCTAAAGGTGACTTATTAAACATTGTGTTATTCATAAAGCAATCATTTTTTTCTATTATCCAGATGAAATTAAAGTCTTTAAAAATACAATACAAGGGAAGGTACTACATATTTGATTGTTTAGAAGAGATTCATCCTCACATGTCTGACGGACCTTCTTTTTCTTTTCAAACACACATACAGTATCAGCACGCACGACTTGTGCCAGAGCCTCAAACCAAATCTATTATCCTTCTCCCCGAATTATGCATATTGAAATTGTAATTCAATAACACTTAGCAGCAGCAGCAGATGGTAGACACATTTTCACCAACATAATCTGTGTTGGTGACACACACGCTTGTTGGAACATTGTACCCTTGCATCTGTTAATAGCTCACACAGCATGTTGTGAGTTTGGCTTCATGGCCACTCACACACACACACACACACACACACACACACACACACACACACACACACACACACACACACACACACACACACACACACACACACACACACACACACACACACACACACACACACACACACACACACACACACATACACACACACACATACACCCATACACACATACACACACACACACACACAGACACACAGACACACAGAAACACACACAGACGGAAAGATGGTGAGAACAAAACAAACGGAAGTAACGTAATACAATATTTCAAAAATACATTTGCAAACCCATTCCTGAGAAGATCAATATTGAGTTTTTTTGTTTTTCAATATGATTATTTTAAATCCTTCTTAAATTGTATCCAATGTGCCACAACTTTCCACTGATTAAACACATTCCAATTGGGGAATAGTTTGGGATTTTGAAATCATTCGATCTGTTTTAATTAACAAAAGATAGAATCATGATTTGCTTAAACCGTGTACAAAAAAAAGTGCCAACCATGCCTTTTACCGTGTTTTTGTTAAAATGACCTTTTGTTGAAGGTAACATGTTGTACATATTGGACTTGATTTAAGACTATGCAATGGGATGGATATTTCTTTAAGCCGTCTAAGAGTTGGTAAACCATATTCTTCATTGTAGATAAAATGGTTTTGAATTTGCTCACAATTGGCAGATTTTGACATAGACGAAAAAATATATAATACTTTGTCTGTGTGAGGAGCATCAGCATTTCACTAAGCCTTTCATTTTAATTTAAGAAAGGCAAAACTAGTTTTCCTTTCCAGAGTAGAGATTTGAAATAACCCTTACCCTGCTGTTGGAGGTTTTTGTTGGTTAGATAAATTGTTCTCAAAAGTGAAATAACTGTTTACTTCCTGTTGAACGCAGAGAGGTTATGTTGAAAACATAAATACAACCATTGAAGGTCCACACACACACACACTCAGATCTTATTTTCTTTATTTCCTAATACACGCTGTATTGGAAATGTTTTCACAAAGGGTAAAGGTTCAAGTTTAACTATTTTGTTGAAAACCTGCTTATGTGCATTTGGAGTTCTATAAACGGCTTTCACATTTTATATTTCAAGAAAAGACCATACCATGTTCAAGGTTTGAAAATGTACACAATAGACTACATAAAGACTTTTGTATGAGTTGTGAGCAAGCCTAGAACACCATTTTGTTGTTTCAAACTAAGAAGGAAAGAATAAAGGATATGTACCTAACCATTTTCAATGCATTGGGATTTTCATCTAATTATTTTAACTCTGTCTCTCTCCATCTCGTTCTCTCTCTCCGTCCCCACAGATCCGTGTCTTCCGTCCCCCTAACTATTCAGGGACTATTGCTCTGGCTCTGTTGGTGTCTCTGGTTGGAGGCCTGCTGTATTTGAGAAGGAACAACTTGGAATTCATATACAACAAGACTGGATGGGCTATGGCTGCACTGGTATGACACACAAATACACAACACATAAACAAAAACACGGTATTTTTAAGGCGGGACAATTATATTCCACTGGGAGAATGGAGAAATGTGCGCCTTCACAAGCCAGAGACGGTACTGTAAGTCAAGTGAAACTGCTCTGGGAACAGATTGAGTGGAGTGATCTCACCTCATTAGTAAAATGTTCTTCATGTTTCAACAACACTTTGAGTCTTAAGTCTCAGAGCCATGTTAAGGTGGATACATTTCAGAAACTCAGTTAAACATCAGGATAATTATGCTAGTACTCCTATGCTAATTATGTTATTTCTTCATTCTCTGTCCCTCTTTCTCAATCTCTCTCTCTATCTCTCTGTATTAGTGTGTAGTGTTTGCGATGATATCTGGACAGATGTGGAACCACATTCGAGGTCCTCCCTACGCACACAAAAATCCCCAGAATGGACAAGTGGTATGAGTCATGTTTCCTATGTCTATATATAAACATATCTCAAGTTGTTGTCATTCTTTCTTACTGCCCTTCCATCTATAATTTTCCATCCCATCCATATCTTTGTTGTCCTTCTTTTATCCTCCCTTCTTTTTTCTATTTCTTGTTTTACCTTTTCTTCCTTGAATCATGGGCTGCCCTCTTTCCTCTTGACCATTATTCTTGTTTTCTTACATGTGTTTTCAGCCAATACAACAATATTATTCAGGTTAGTACTATTGGGATTTGCATTGTGGTGGGTATTCAATCAATGGAAGGTACATTATGTAAAGCTGTTGGCCCAGAGTAAGATGCACTCTGTACCATTATCACAGCTAACAGGTCAGCTGTGTGTGTGTGTGTGTGTGTGTGTGTGTGTGTGTGTGTGTGTGTGTGTGTGTGTGTGTGTGTGTGTGTGTGTGTGTGTGTGTGTGTGTGTGCCTGGGAGCATTCAGTGTGTGTTAATATCACCTTAGAGACAAGTCAGAGTCCTCTTGGACCAAGCAGACAGGAAGGGGGCAAGGGAAGAGAACATTTCTGTTGCTCTCCAACTGGGTACACACAGACACAGACACAGACACACACACATAAAAAGCAGAGGGAACAGAGAGGCAGTGCTGTTGATCCTCAGAGTCTTTCTTTCTCTCCCTCCCTCTGTTTTTTTAACATTTGACACTTATTACCAATATCTGTACTCCACACACGCACACACACACACACACACACACACACACACACTGCACCTGCAGATTTGGCTGGTCATCATTTAAGTTTGTTCATTCAAGTGTGAAATTAAAATAACAATAAACCTGAGAAAATAAGGGGAGTGTGAGAGAGGAATAAAGTGCTGGACATTTGCCTTAAAAACTTGACTATGTGTCTCCACTATTATGCGGTCTGATAAGTGACACACATGCACACACACCCTTTCACAGTGAGTGTTATTGAGGTCACAGACCCAAAGTATACAAAGCAGTGTTGTCGGTGTACGAAAAAAGTCAATTCAGCTCATGCAGAGACTGAAAGCGATTGGTTTTCCCTGAAGCCAGCACTGCCAGAGAACACCCTCTAACACACAACAGAGGGAAGTGCAAAAACACACGATCTTACAATCCAAATATATATATTTTTTTTTTAAATATCACGACTTTCCATCCTTTATTCCTTACAGCATGCTCCCACTCTCATGTTCGGTTTGAAAGTCACTCTACTGCTCAGGCTCTGTTGACTCTCATTTTTCAATCAGTTTGACTACAAATAGGTTACACCCTCATCCTACGTAGCGCTCAGCTGTGTCTCCCAGCTGTCACCCCATCTTTCTCTTCCTCTGTTATTTCCCTACCTCTCCACTACCCTCTCTTTGCCACTTACTTGCCTGTGAAGCGCTATTTTTTTTTACTGGGAGGACAATCATCTACCGACATACATGCTACTTTTTGTTGGAGAAAGAAATACAAAGAAAATCCTAATTCATCAAAAGAATGCTTGGAATTTCACACATGACACAGAGGCTTCACTTTTTCAGTCTTTGGCTCTTGATATATCAGAATCACAGAGGGGACATTTGCAGCATTACAGCAGGAAAGAGCCACAGCTTGCTTAGTGTACAATTGCACAAAGCATACCTATCACTCTTTACAATATATCTGAGAAAATCATGCTGTTTCCTTCCTCTGGCTCATCAGTTAATTCCTCCTTCCTTATTTCCCTCCCACTGCTTTCTTTTCTTCTCTTTGCCCCCCCCCCCTTCCCCTCTCTCACATATCTGTCTGTCCTCATGCCATCTTATAGTCTTCATAAGAATGAAGTGCAGTCAGTGTGAAATACTCCTTCCTGCTTTCTAGTTTTCCCCTCTCTTCCGCTCTTGTTCTTGGCTTCGTACGAGCTGAGCAGAACGATGAGGGCAGCATTAAAGCTTTTGACATAGTGAAGTGTTTACAGAACATTTTGGATTAAGACTGAAATGAAATCCCTAACTGTGAGGAGCGGGAGCCATAGGCATCTGTTTCAAATTCAGAGGTTCATGGGTCATAAATGATTTATTACTGAGCATACAGAAAAACCAATGATACAAGATAGGAGCTAAAATGCTTAAGAGCTGGCAGAGGGACCGTTGTATGCTCTGTTCCAGCTTGGAGGCGAATACTATGAAACGTAAGGCTTTTATATTCTGTGATTGATTGTAGCAAATTAAAAGTTACAAATTATGATTAATCTTCATTTATTTATGTAAAAAAGCACTGCATGTTGTGTTTGTTTCTTCACCGAAAGAAATGTGTCATTAGCGACCACTGCAAACATCCATGCGTGCACCTTGGAAGTCAAAATAACAAAAGTAACCAACTTCACAACCAAGCTCCTTATATGTAAATCACGAAATCTCTAAGTTTACACTCCTTTTGGTTTATATGTTATCAACTATTTGGATATTTCTGTCCTTATAAAAAGCAATGTCAGCAAGTGGGAAATATATAAGTAATATTCTCACAGTCATGGTTTCATACTGCAATTCAACACCAAAATGGACACTGTAGAGATTCACTCCCTCCCACATAAGATGAAGTTAAATATTAAGTGATCTACCTTCAATTTCCACTTTATTAGGTATTCCTGTCAGTCAACTGCTACCCAATATCTACCTTGCAAAAATGTCAACGCTATGTGAACAGTATGAGCTTTTTAAAGATATCAAATATGGCAGAGCTTTTGTATTATATTGTAAAGGTTAAAATAATAAAAGGACCACATAGTATGAACCTAATATGAAAAACCTATTGAGAGCTGGCGCCATAGAACCTGCTCTAAAGTCTCCTACAGCTTCACCTTAATCATCCCTCTTTAACAGCAGGATCCGCATTGATAATAGTGGCTTTGACATTTTCTTCATCTTCCATGCCACATTGCTATTTTCTTGTGATAAAAACGCTGCATAGAAAGGTTCATTAGGTCTTCTGCAAATGGCTCTCAGTTCCTCTGTCCCTTCACATATTCTCCACATACATCCTCTACCTTTTGCACTCTTTAAATCCCTCTTTTTCACCTCCGATAGCAAATGGGTTGAACTGGCCAGATGATAGTAAAAAAGATACCTGCCTTATCTTTTTCCAGTACACCCCTCCTCTTTTCGTGTTACTTCCTCTCAACTCCCCGTCTAATCTTCCACCCTCCTCTCCCTCCCTCTCTTCCCAGACAGTGTAATTCCTTTAAAATGATGAGAGAGCCGGGCCAGGTAGACTGTAGCGAAATGATTTGTCAACTGACGAATGGAACGACCAAGCAGATGAAATTGTAGTGAGCGTCTTACTGTGAAAATACTGCTAGCCCATTTTTGCTCTGGAACTCAACACACACACACACACACACACACACACACACACACACACACACACACACACACACACACACACACACACACACACACTGAGTTATGCTTAAGATACTCACTCACCCACATGAAACAAACACAAGCCTTTACACAGCTATTACTACAAACGGGCACACACAATTTAGCCAAACTCAAATATTAGAAAAACCCTATCAGAATGTTGCAAGCAGCAACAAACACACAGTCGCACACACAGCTGACTGGATTTTGAGGCGCTTGGGTTTGAAGAAGGGATTGAACGGTGAAAGTTTCGTATTGAACATTGTCTTGAACAAGTTCTATTATTAACTGTCTCACAGAAAGGGGATCTTGGGGAGATGAATGGGCTGCTATTATTAAGCATTTAAGCCAGCATTTTTTTTAAACTATGACCACACTATTGACTGATGACATTTCAGTATTTCCAGCTGATTTCACATGATTTGGTTGATGTCTTTTGGCAGTTGTTCTCGACATTACTGCTAACCTTTCATATTGTATAGAATCTCCCCTGTCACTTTTATTGGCTCTGTGTAAGTCAAAAGTCAACAATTTGCAGAGGGCCATCAGTGTGTGTTAGTAAGTGTGAGTGCTGCTTTACGTTTTGCGTTGCCTGCACACCTGTTTGTGTATGTGAGAGATCATTTGTGACAGTATGCATTTTATCGGGGAAGGGATTTCTTGTGTGTTTGTCTGGGTGTTTTGAGCCAATACAGAAATAATGGAATAGAATAGTAAAGCAGTGAAATAATCTATTTTTTAAGCTGGAGTTGCGTTTCAAATCAGACTCTAACCATCCCTCTCAAACTCCACGGTTACATCCCCGGACGCACAACATAATTGGAACATTTTCTAACTAGTAGTAAGAACCACATATTAAACAAATGTTATCCTGGAGAGAGAAAGAATGAACATTAGAGTAGATTGGTGTAGAAAGAAAAGATGGAATAGATGGGGAGATTACAGGTAACACACTAGCCAGTCACAATAGCCCTCTAACTATGCTCCTGTATATCTCTCTGTGCTGGGCTTTTACTCCTTTTGGCCTTTTGTTCTCAGGGTTGTTCATTATTAACCTACATTATAAAGAGTTGCTGAAGAGAGAGAAAAGCTCTCTTGTCTAGCTACCTGTCGTTTAGCAAGCTGGTTATCTCTCTTTCTAATGGGACAATAGTTTCACCACGGCTCACATTCCTAGTTCAGAGTCGACCTTGATGATTCTTGAGAAATCCAGTTCCTTAAAAAGAAAAAACACTAGTATTAGAAAAAGTCTTTTGACACCCTGTAAGCCAGTAGTACGTTTTATCCTGTGGATCGAGCCAGCAGTTGTCTTAGTCAAAAGACTTCATTAAGTTTTATACACAGCGCACTGCCACTTGATCAAATCCACCGCATATCCTTGAAAAATAAAACACTAAAAAGTAGTCTGAGGAGGGAATGATGAGTCACTTCATTTTACTGACTGACATGTTAAAAGAAATGAAATAGGTTTTAAATGGCTTTAATTGGCTCTTGGGTAATTAAAGTGAAGAGTGTGTAAACATTGAACTGCATAAACAGTGTGTGGATAATGAGTTTTTAAAGCATCACCTGAATCCCTAAAATAGACTGCCATATT